AAGGCTGGCTGCATTTAAGTAATTAATTAACCAAGGCTGGCTACACCGGCGTAATTAACCAAGGCTGGCTACACCGGCGTAATTAACCAAGGCTGGCTACACCGGCGTAATTAATTAAGGCTGGCTACACCGGCGTAATTAACCAAGGCTGGCTGCATTTAAGTAATTAATTAACCAAGGCTGGCTACACCGGCGTAATTAACCAAGGCTGGCTACACCGGCGTAATTAACCAAGCCTGGCTACACCGGCGTAATTAACCAAGGCTGGCTACACCGGCGTAATTAACCAAGGCTGGCTACACCGGCGTAATTAACCAAGGCTGGCTGCATTTAAGTAATTAATTAACCAAGGCTGGCTACATCGGCGTAATTAACCAAGGCTGGCTACACCGGCGTAATTAACCAAGGCTGGCTACACCGGCGTAATTAACCAAGGCTGGCTACACCGGCGTAATTAACCAAGGCTGGCTACACCGGCGTAATTAACCAAGGCTGGCTACACCGGCGTAATTAACCAAGGCTGGCTACACCGGCGTAATTAACCAAGGCTGGCTGCATTTAAGTAATTAATTAACCAAAGCTGGCTACACCGGCGTAATTAACCAAGGCTGGCTACATCGGCGTAATTAACCAAGGCTGGCTACAGCGGCGTAATTAACCAAGGCTGGCTACATCAGCGTAGTTAACCAAGGCTGGCTACATCGGCGTAATTAACCAAGGCTGGCTACATTTAAGTAATTAATTAACCAAGGCTGGCTGCACCGGCGTAATTAACCAAGGCTGGCTACACCGGCGTAATTAACCAAGGCTGGCTGTATCGGCGTAATTAACCAAGGCTGGCTACACCGGCGTAATTAACCAAGGCTGGCTACACCGGCGTAATTAACCAAGGCTGGCTACACCGGCGTAATTAACCAAGGCTGGCTACACCGGCGTAATTAACCAAGGCTGGCTACACCGGCGTAATTAACCAAGGCTGGCTACACCGGCGTAATTAACCAAGGCTGGCTACACCGGCGTAATTAACCAAGGCTGTCTGTATCGGCGTAATTAACCAAGGCTGGCTACACCGGCGTAATTAACCAAGGCTGGCTACACTTGCGTACACTGGCTACGCCGATATGTAGTAGGTGTGTAAAGTTTTTTGTAGGGTTAAATTTAATAAGGTCGTTGTCTCCTCACAAAACTAAACAACTTTTTATTCGAAACGTGAAAAAGAAAATTGGACCTCGCATTCTAAGTGACGAAGTTTTCCAGCGTCTTGGTATGGGAGGTCCAAATATTTTTATTTTCTTGTTTCGTAGAAAAGTTTCAAATAATAAAAAACACTTTTGTGAGAAGAACAGGCCCTTAAAATATTTGTGCTTAATTAAAGTAACCTAATATACACGTATAAAGTTAATTTTCGTTCTTCATCTCACAGACGCACACGAACGAGAAGCCGTTCTCGTGTGACATCTGTCAGAAGCAGTTTAAGTACAGCACATCGCTCGCGGAGCATACGCGGACTGTCCACGAGTGTTTGCCACCGCGGAAACGCATGCGGCGGGACACGTGACACACAGGCAGCGGGTTCGATTCCCAGCACGCGATCAATTCATGAGGCGACTAGTTCAAGTGCCTACAAAAATAATAGACATGAAATAGACTACTGTCTTATTAGGCATATTGACGTGGTTCCAGGCCAATCTCCCCCACATCACATTTTTCTACTGTGAAATTTGGCTACTATGGAATTTAGTTTACTTAAGTAAAATAAAAAAATAAATATGCCTGGACGAGACACACGGCGCCAAACTTACCAAAGCATGTGCTACGGGCACTACACAACTGGCATAATACTTATATAGGGTGATATTTTACTAGTGACCGATAACGAAAACTCAGAATCGGCTGGTGATAAGGAACAACTTTTCCAAGGAACATAGGTCGAAATACGAAAAAAAATGTTGGACCTCCCATACAAACTTGCCGATCAGCAGTTTTTTTTTTTTTTATCTATGATGGGCTTACTCTTGACCCCAATCTTACCCTAGAGCAGAGATGGGATCTACGGTGGAGCGAGCTTGCCCAGAAGATGCCTATTCACTCTAGACTTAAAGAGATTCAGGTTATATGCACTCGGAAATACAGACGCAGGCAGGGAATTCCATTCTTTAGCCGTGCGCATAATGAAAGATGATTTGAAGCGCTTAGTGCGTAATGTGGGTATATCAACTAAGAACGGATGGTAGCCGGCCGTGCGTCTGGATGTCCGATGGAAGAAAGGAGACGGTGGTATGAGCTCATGCAGCTCACGCGCACACTCTCCGAAGTACAATCTGTAGAAGACCGATAGGCAAGCAACCTTGCGGCGGTGAGCCAGGCTGTGAAGCTTGGTCGCCACCAGTTTTTTATCGCCTATTAATCTCTTGGCTCTGCGTTCCACCGAATCTAGTGCAGCAAGTTGGTATTTAGCCGAGCCATCCCAAAGGTGACAGCAGTACTCCATGCAAGATCGGACTTGAGCTTTATAAACAGTTAGAAGCTGTTCAGGCGTGAAGTACCGCTTGACTTTATTCAGGACGCCCAACTTTCTAGCTGCAATTTGAGCCTTGGACTCGATGGTGGTGCCGAAGTTGAAGTCAGAGGACAGCTCCATGCCAAGGAGTTGAAGAGTGTTGGTCACTGGAACAGATGTACCCCGAAAAGTAGGAGAAAAGGTGAAAGGACTCCTTTTTGCGGAGAAAAGACACGCCTGCGTTTTTGAAGCATTGAAGCTGACGAGATTGTCATCGCCCCACTGGGAGACGTTACTTAACGTCAGGCTCGTACGCTCAATCATAGCCTTTCTCAATCTTTGGATTTCATCACCACTGGCTCCTGCGCCGGACAGATATTTCTCGGTGACAGTACTGTCATCTGCGTACCCAACAATTCCTGAAGATAGAAGGTCATTGATGTGCAGCAGGAAAAGCGTCGCGGAGAGTACAGACCCCTGAGGAACTCCGGCGTCAATAGCCTTGAGGTCAGAGGAGCAACCGTCTATGACCACTCGGATCGACCGTTCACTCAGCAAGTCAGCCACCCAGCTACAGAAGCCAGTGGGTATGCCGTACGCTGGAAGCTTGCTCAACTACTATGTGATTTCAGTTACTATGGGAGGTCCAAAATTTTTTTTCGTATTGCGACCTATGTTCCTTGGGGAAAGTTGTTCCTTATCACCAGCCGATTCTGAGTTTTCGCTATCGGTCACTAGTAAAATTTCATACTATACAACCTGTTACACAACTAACCAAAAAAAAGAATATCTTTCATTACCATCAGTCGATAAAATAATCACATCACTAGTCTAGGTCAGGTGCTACACTGCCTGGCGAACAAAGTCCGCTTCGGCATACATTGCTGGTTGACTTTGTTTCTTGTATTGATGACACTCATGTAATAGCCAGCAATGTAGACCGAACTGCGCTGCGCCGCGTCGGTAACTTCATTTGAACTTTGAGCTGTCAAAATTAGTGCTGCGATGCCACGATTAAAAATAAGTGTAATTTAATAAAAAAATATTTTTTTCGTAGTTTTCAAAAACGATAATACGGCTCTAATTCATTTGTTAATTGACTCTTTGCAACGGACCTTTCCACACCCTTTCAGCTTTATTGGTTGTTTTGTAACACGTTGTATACTTTCTTATGTAAAAAGTATACGTACAGGGTGTAAGGGACAGCCCTCCGAATACTGAAAGGGTGCATTCAGACCATGAAACTGAACAACTTCCCATAGAAATAAATTTCAGTAAAATATTTTTGGACTTCCCATACAAAATCACGATCAACTGATTCAATTTACTATGGGAAGTCAAAAAAAATTTTACGTTTCCTGAAATTTATTTCTGTGGGAAGTTGTTTAGTTTCATGGTCTGACTGCACCCTTTCAGTATTCGGAGGGCTGTCCCTTACACCCCGTATTATACCTACATAGAAAACACCCAGACTAAACACAAATATATGAAACTTGAGACATTTTTTGTTTATAAAAACGCTTGTACTAGTTTCAGTTTTATTTTCGGTATAACCCTACCGGTTTCAATCACTGAGCATCATCAGGGGCACTTATATGTTGCACAACACACATTCACAAATATCATACTTTATTATCTTATTACAATTATATGTTTCCATTATGATTATGAATTTTAAATACCCAAAAAAAAAATAGGGTTATACCCAAAATAAAACTGTGAAACTAGTACAAGTGTTTTTATAAACAAAAAATGTCTAATATTCAGTTTCATCCAGCGCCATCAATCGCAAGTACTTATTAATCGTATGAAACTTGACTAAAAAAACATTTGTGTCGGTGGGGATCGAACCCACGACCCTCGGTGGGGCAGGCAGGGGTACTATCCACTACGCCATCGGGCCAGTCATAAAGTGACATCAGCATGAAAGTGACATATATTAACATGGTTACAGTTACAGTTCAAATCTAGCTCACTTTGTAATTTTTCTTCTACGATATTTCTCTAATGACAATTTCTAAAGTAAGTCGTTTCGCTACTATGCCATTCAGCAACTTCATGTTGCTGTTTTAGACAACCGTCAAACTGTACACACACAGGGGGCGGGTTCGATTCCCAGCACAGTTCACTCGGCTTGTAGTTCAAGTGACAGTTTTTTTTCAGGTCAGCATTTACAATTTGCTCCGTTGACATTTTATTTCCATAATATTTTGTGCTATGATATTTGACAGCACAAAATAAGCTAAACAATTTCTATCACTTTCATCAAGATGGACTTCCGAAAAGTAACTAATAGTATTTAGGAAAACTTGTAAAATTTTCACCGCAGGCTGGCAGATGGTAGCCAAAGCGATCGCGGGTTTTCATCGCTTTGGCTACATCCAATCTGTAAAGAATGGATTAGTCGCTGGGAATTAGTAGTAAAACTATTCTGGTAGATGGAGCCCTACCATGCGTAAGTGGTCAAGATACACTTGCTTAATTCGTGGACATGGAGTGAGCCGCTGTAGCCCAGTTGGTAGAGGCGTCGCCAGTACAGATGGCGATGGCGCAGTGGCTCTAGTTCAAATCCAGCCTGCGGTGAAAATTTTGCAAGTTTTCCTAAATTCCTAACACGGGAATTGATTTAAAAATTTGGTATTTAATTAATATTAGTTACTTAAAAATCACAAAAACAAATATTTTAAAAGGAAATATTTTGCTTTAGTTCTTTATGATAATTATTAATAATGTAGTTAATACTATTAATTAGAATGTTAATAAGTACTAATTGGTATTATAAAATTAATTTAAATAATATGTAGGTAGTTGATTTTCTTTAGAATATAAATTATTTATTTATCGTTAATTAATAAGTTAAGTACATATACAGTGTAATTGTAGGATAAATCAATAAAATGAGTATTAATTGTATTTTTTATTATTAATAATAAAGTTCATCAAATAATGTACTATTCTAACTATTTGTATCTGGTTATACATTCGAAAGTAATTAAATATACTCTTACTTATTGTCGAACTGTTCTTTATCTTAACTTATACCTTTAAACAAGCAAGAATTATATACTATATTTGTTCGCAATCCAAGAAGGCTTTTGAAGCTCAGTGCAAGAAACACGAATTCTAACATAGAGTGCCTATTTCCAAATCATACCTAAAACCTACCAAAACTAAATGGGGCTCCTCTAATATTCAGCCAACTCGGACAGGAACAACGGTTGCGATACTAATAATACTTAAAACTAAACACTTAATAAATATATATCACACGGATTTTAGCACTTACATTGGGGTTCAATCGCGGTAGAATAGAGTGGCAGGAGAGACGCTAGCGCGTACAGATGTCACTCCGCCCGATGAAGGTCCACCGACTGGACCGAGACCGTCGCGATACCTACCGCGATTGAACCCAATTGCAAGTGCTAAAATCCGTGTGATATATAATTAGAGTTAAAATAGCGCACTTAAGTTTAAACAATTTAACTTAATAAATAGTACAAAAAACATAGATACAAATGCGAAAGGTGCATAACACCATCCCTATGGTAGTAATGTTCCACTCACTTTTGTGTCCTGAAGGTTGTTCTTGAGCTATGGCAAGGGGAGTAAAAGGTGATTGGATTGGGGGTAAGAGGTTTTGCCTAGCGCTCACCAAACCGCACCGCTCGTCGCCGGCCTTCCGCGACGACTTAGAACAATCCAGATTTATCTTGGCAAGGCACTTTCCAGTTCACATCACTTACACTAATTAAGAAAACCACTCTAAAAGTTAGTTCTAGCACTTCTAGTAAAAAAAAAACTCAGTCGCGTACGCGGCCGCAAACTCCTGTTGCAACACCTTCACCTCCTTCAGCAGTCGGGTAAAATGTGACTGTTATTTAAATTTTCTGTTATCTACACTTCTATATAATAATAATAATACTGGGTTATTTTTTAGTCGGTGCGCAAACTTTGCAGATTAGCCGCCTAGTCGTCGTGGTGTAGTTATCAAACTACCCACCTGCGTACGAAAGTGTTCTACCCAGTGATTTCGCCTACCCTCGGTAACCACGTAGGGCTCTGCTAAGCGCCCGTAACCCCGGCCTCCCACCAGCGGGTCTCACCGGGGGGGTTGCTCCAGGGTCCTGCGCCCCGAGGGCAGGCTACGCTTTACGCGGACTAGGCCACAAGAAGATGCCCTACAAGGCAAACCAGCGCCCGGCGCTGAAAGAGCGCCCGAGGATGTTCGTTCGCACGAACCCCCTCAGCGTCCTCCAACGCGTACTCGACGCGCGCGTGCCGACGCGACCACCGCAGACGCCGCCAACGCCGGGGTCAATGGACCCTCCACTTGTCACGTCGCCGCCTACGGCCGCCGCAGCAGCCATCACTGCTGCCTTTCGTGCCGCACCTCCACTGCCACCGCTGCCTGCTTCTCCCTCGTCGCCTCCGCTGTCCCAGCGTGAGCCGAGGGACAAAAAGCAGCTCGACCTGCTCGCCCTCCAGCGCGCCGCCGCACGGCACACCGCCCTGAATGCCCTCAGGGAGAGTGCTGCAGCCGTGCAGGCGGGAGCGCAGAATGCGCAGCGCGCCGAGAAGCGCCCACTGAGATCGACCTCACCGACCCCGCCGAGGACCCGCACGGTTCCGGCTACGAGGGTCACGCCGCCGCTGTCCATGCCCCTGCTGAACAGCTCGGGTACTGGAGACAGCCAAGCGTCGTCATCTGCCCAGACCACCTACGCGTCCACGTTGACCACCCCGAAGCCTGCGACCAGCAAGCCCAAGGAAGACGCCAATAAGACGCCGCCACCCGCACCCAAGAAGACGTCTATGAAGATGACTGGGTGTGTGAAGAAGCCGCCGCCGATAGTGGTCGACTTGCTCCTTGCCCTTGCCCTATGGGCCCACAGGGTTCCGATTCCTGGCGCAAAGCGAACAGGAATTCCGTGTGTACCAGCGCTACCTAACCGCGCTGGAGGGCTCCGGCACCGGAATATCCTGGTTCGCCTTCGCACCCCCGAAGGAGCGGCCAATCAAGGTCGCGATCAGAGGCCTCCCCGCGGATACTGACTCGGAGGACATCAAGGAGGAGCTGACCACCCTGGGCTACGGGGTGGACTACGTGCGCCCCATCAAGGCTCGCGGAGGACGCCCAGGGTGCATCTTCTTCGCCCAGTTCACCCGCACGCCAAACCTCACCCCGGGCATTTACAACGTCACAGAGCTGATGTGTATGCCCGGCGTGAAGATCGAGGGATGGCGTGGGAAGAAAGGAACACCACAGTGCCACAGATGCCAGCAATTCCGGCATAGCAGCAAGCACTGTCACCGCAAGCTGACGTGCGTGATCTGCGGCGGCGAGCACGCTGCCCGGGATTGCAAACGGCCACGCGAAGAGCCCGCCACATGTGCGAACTGCGGCGGCGCGCATCCGGCGAACAACCTTGACTGCCCCGTACTGCGCCGTGAAGTACGGAACAAGAGAGGAGGCATTGCACCAATCACGGAACCCGTCGAGCTGAAGAAGACGGAGGCGGCACCGCATGGGGAAACCAACGCAGCTCCCTCGGATCCCTCATGGCGGCTGCCAACGGTCCCTCCGGAACTTCGACGAAGAAGCGGAAGCCGAGGAGGCGGAGGAGGCGAGCATCGCCCCCGCCCCCCCAGGACGTGGAATCACCGGGCCAACCACGTCAAGAGCCACCCACGGGTCTGTCGGATGTGGTCGGCACCCCTCAGGGTATACCTCAGGGGGAGAAGCCGGAGCACCAACGGGCTCCAAGACAAGAGAGCGCACGAGCAGCCGTCCTAGAAGAGGACAGAAAGGTCCTGATCAGCGCAATCAGGACCCTTACTGAGGTCCAGGTCGCGCTCCGCACGGGGGCGGACGCGACCTCAATCGTCGAAAAGAGCCTCCAGCGCCTGATCTCGTCATACGGCGGGGTCATGGCCGCCAGGGGCGAGCTGGAGGCTTTGGGACCCAGACAGGCTGCTCAGGGTGGTGCTGTCCAGCACAGCCTTACGTGGCCTTCACCTGTCCACATCCACTACTCCACGTCGAGTAGTTAGGATCGTGGGCACAATCCCAGAAACGCCCGGCCACTGCCGCTTATTGGATTCGACCGCTGCCTCGGGACCACCTTGCGAGGAGGATGAGGCAGCCAACCACAGGACCTGACCACCAGATGTAACGAGCCGCCGCTGGCTGATGGGCACTAGCTGGGCCTCCCCCAAAGGGGAATCACCCGGCTGGTTCGACCTCGCCGCGGCGTGAAGTTTTGCCTGGACCACCACCGGATTGACCACAGTCGCGCCCAGCGCGACCCCCCAACGCCCCACCTGTTGTCGCAGGTGGCGACTGACTCCACGTTGGAGTGGCCATTGCCACGTTGACGTTTCCCCGCCGGCCGCAAGCGGCCGTCGAGAAGAACACCACGGCGGCAGGGTGTTTCTCGTGGTAATGATAATTTTTTACTACGAGACCACCTGCGAATCAGCGAAAAAAAATTTTGGGAGTTCGATAGAAAAATTCATACCTACTCGGCAAAAATGTATGGGACACACAAAATTCTAAGACCCCCTCTGGCCCCATAGTAAAAGTTGTTCAGAATCACGAGTAGAAACATCCTGCAAAGTTTGCGCACAACCTAGAACCTACATATAATATCATTGGCGCACTGACTAAAAATAACCATGTATAATAAAGAGGATAAGTATTTTTTTTGTATGTATATAATCGATAAACTCCGAAACTACTAAACCTATTTCAAAAATTCTTTCACCATTAGAAAGCTAAAACATTCCTGAGTAACATAGGCTACTTTTTACCACGATAAAATATTATTATCGTATTCCGACGGGAAAACGGTTAGCCAAACTGTGTAACCGGTCTTCGCGAACTTCGACACTGATAATTATTACTTGCATATCCGAGACGGACATGGGCGTATTTTTATCAGAACTTAAGGATCTGGAGTACCTGATGAAGACCACCAGCTTGCCATCCAAACTATAAGAGATACGGTAATGGCTTCAAACTTTTTTAATACATCTATTCGTAATATTTTGATTTCTGATATAAAGCAAGCAAGCAAAAATTTGAGGCACTCTAGTTTTAGTATTTCTGCTTCTCGTGACTTCTAGGTGGAGCAGTCCGCTTGCACCGGAAACTGAGATATTAAAGACGACTGACATACCTATTAAAGTACAATGAGATTTTAGAAGATAGACTGATAGATATATGGAGAGTTTTGTCTAAAAAGATCAAGTGAGTGGAAATATTTTGCGTGGTAGCAAAATCAGGATGTCATCATCAAAGTCAGGATGGACGAACTGTTACAATAATGATATAACAAATATAGCGTTCTCTGCGTGCCTCGCCCGGAAAGAAAAAGAGAAGAACATGACAAGAAAAAAGATAGCGGACATTCGGTTTCTAGTCAAATAAGAAAAAATATACAAAATTATGTTTTATTGTATAAAATAGAATAGGTAATTGAGTTCCTAAATAATAATACAACTTAACCTTAACATTTACGCTTATAATAATAAAATTGGATCAGTGTGCGAGTGAGGGAAAATCTAAAAAGTGCGAGTCAGAC